TAATGAATTTTTGGAATGGGTGTGTGCTTAGAACTAACCAACAAATGAAAGGTTAAGCTTTGTGGGAAAACTAGAGTAATCACACCACTCACTCTCCATGCAGCTTCTGCCGATTGTGATCTTCCTCTGGAAGGTTTTCTGAGTTTTATGGATACAGAGACTAATGTAGACCTTCCTAATGGACTGATATGGGGAGAATTAAAAATACAGATTTCTGTCTCAGTGGTTGAGTATCAACCTATGAACTAGGAGGTCATGGTTCAATTCCCAGTCAGGGCAGATGCCAGAATTTGGGCTTGATCCCCAGTGTGGGGTGTGCAGGAGGCAGCTGATCAATGATTCTCTCTCATCACTGATATATCCCTCCTATCTCTCTCCCTCTCCCTTCCTCTCTGAAATCAATAAAAATATATTTTTAAAAATATATATAGATTTCTTATAGGATAAGTGATTTCCAGAAGCAGAGTCACATATGTATTAAAAACTGCAAAATTAATAGCTTTTGTTTGCATATTCAGTCAGGGCCCTTGACCGAATTTCGTGAAGAAGTTTGTCTTGTTTCTGTTGTAACACATCCTTAGGGATGTAAGGCACAGCAAAATACTGTTCCCACGAAACCACTTCCGAGCGCTGGGTGGTTTGGACTTCTGTGGTTTTCTCCTTTACTTTTGTCCTGGGCCTTTGCATTTTATTCGTTTTTTCATTTTTTGTTTTTTTGTTTTATTTTACTTTTCCTTTATTAAAATCCATAACAAAAGTTCAAAAACTGCCATCAGATTAATTTGTTGGAAATTTTGTTTTTAATGAGTTAATTAGCTGAAAAATGTGTGTGCCAGGAATATAAATTTCCAAGATATTAGTATCATATAGCTTTTCTACCCACCATGTTGAAGGTTTACAGAAAGAATAAGCAGATGAGATCGATTTTAGTGTTTCTTTTCTTTTTATTTTATTTACAGCTTCCTCTCAGAGAGAAATTGGCTATTTACAAGGCTAAGTGAAGCACATTTTAGTCCAACAGTTGACTGTGAAATAGGTCTGTGTGTTGCTTCTCCTTCTATTATATATTCTTCTGAATCACAGAACTGTAAGAACTTTGAATTTACTCAGCACACAAAGGACTTCCCGCTCGCTGTGGGCTGAGAGGAGAGCTCCCAGCCAGGTGCACAGGGTCTCTGAGTAACGGCTTTTGAGAGTGGCATTTAAGCTATTTCCTAAGCCAGCTACACAAACCACCCACCTGCCATGCAAGTCACTCCTCCAGCTGCCGCCCCACTCCCATGCATGCCTTAAACCAACCTTTAACCTTAAATGTCAGAATGGACTCTCACTTTTGTCTGCTGCTTGACTATAACTGGAAAGATGAAGCTGTAGGCTGGCATTAATATTTGTCTTAAATGCATGCTAATAGTGACAGCTGTGGTTTCATTTTTTGTCTAGTCCATTACTAAAATAGTTGTAGTGTTAAGAAAACTCTAGTATAAGAGTGCTTTGTATAAGCTGAGGCATCTGCTCTATGCCATGGTTTGTAGAGATAGAGAAATGAAAATAAAACTAAAATTTTGATTAATATATAAAATGAATTAAGAGGAACCTGATAATTGTTTATATAACACTTAAAACCAAAATATGTTAACTTTTTTTAAGTTTATTCAGATCATGTGGTATCTGTTCATGATAATGTTGATTAATATGTTGCAATGAAAACTTTTAATTTCTCTATTTTTAACTATTTTCCTAGTCTCTTATGAGAAACTGCAGCTCCCACCCCCCACCAACACCTCTCCAAAGCACTGTAATGCCATGGCAACTGGAGAAATTGATCTCAGTATCAGCCCAACATAGTTCCCCCCCACCCCAGGATAATTCTTTGAAAGTTATAAATATATAAAGACATATATTCTCTATCAGCTAAAGCAGATTTCCAATGGAAAATCATTTATCTTTTCAAACTCTTTTTTTTTTAATATATATTTTATTGATTTTTTTACAGAGAGGAAGAGAGAGGGATAGAGAGTTAGAAACATCGATGAGAGAGAGTCATCGACCAGCTGCCTCCTGCACACCCCCTACTGGGGATATGCCCGGAATCAAGGTACATGCCCTTGACCAGAATCGAACCTGGGACCCTTTGGTCCGCTGACTGACGCTCTATCCACTGAGCCAAACCGGTTTCGGCTATCTTTTCAAACTCTTTTGAAGGGGATTTAGAATGATTGCCAGGCCCTCCCTCATTTTCCTCAGAAACAAAAACAAATAGCATTTGGGTCGTGGTTCTTAATTTTCTCTGTAAATAATTACTTGACCCTGGAGCCCAAGTATGATTTGAGGCAAATTGTAAACCATATTGCCCTAACTGTTTTAACTCAGTGGATAGAGCATTGGCCTTCAGACTGAAAGGTCCCGGGTTCGATTCCAGTCAGGGGCATGTACCTTGGTTGCAGGCACTTCCCCAGTAGGGGGTGTACAGGAGGCAGCTGATCAATGTTTCTCTCCCATCAATGTTTCAAACTCTCTATCCCTCGCCCTTTCTCTCTATAAAAAAATCAATAAAATACGTTTTTTTAAAAAATTGAAAACCATATTTGTGCTCACTTCCATTCTGAAGGTAAAGGTCTGAAGGAAGACCAAGGCACACGTAATGGCCCAGCCAGTATGGCTCAGAGGTTGAGTGTTGACCTGTGAACCAAGAGGTCATAGGTTGGATTCCTGGTCAGGGCACATGCCCAGTGTGTGTGTGGGGGGGGGGGGGGGGGAGAATAAGGAGGCAATTGATGTTTCTATCTCTCTGTCCCTCTTTCCTCTCTCTCTAAGATCAATAAGGGCATACTAAAAATAATTTTGTAAAAAAGACACATGTAATGGAATCCAGCACCTGGTGGGCATCAAAAAGGGAATTTTCAAGCCATTTCTTATACACCTAGCTGTTTAATAAATTAGCATACAATCATTTCAGCTTTTCTAAATGAAAGAGGTTTTTTCACATTTAAAAAAAATTAATGGCTTGACTATGCTATCCTTGGGTATTTAAAATAATGACATAGGTATTAAGTGTGAATGATTCGATATCTGAAGGAAATGTCTTGTAAATCTGCAGTCCTCAAAGCCAGTCTTTGTGTATTTCACTAGAATTGTTCTCTTTTATATTCATGTAGTTTGTTTCAAGTGTACATGGTGAGGTATTTGCATTCCCGTATGCATTATAGAAAGAATTACCCAAGGAAAATCTCTCTTCTGAAGAGAAAGTTTGTAAGTACTATTGTTGCCCCTTCTAGTCAGAATCAGCAGTGATAACTGAGCAGGAACATAGCTCAGACTCAGCTCTGCTGGTTTATCCCACAGTGCGAGGCCACTTGAAAGTAATGAGTGGACACATGATACAACATACAATGCTGCGGTATGGAGTCATATCCCTTCAGCCTATGTGATTTTAGTAACCAGTGTCACCCCAATAAACTCAGCTTTTAAAGTCAGTGAGAGAGATGGACTGTAGGCTAGGAGACTTCGCCCTTCCCCATCTCAGAGTGGGTCTCCTGGCTAACCAGTGCAGCCGCAGCCGCTGCCGCATCTGTCCTTTCAGGGTTCGTTTACCCCTCCTCCGGCATCCCCCCACCAACCCTCTCCTTCCAGTTCCTTTGGAATGGGTCTCTGTACCCAAAAAAATAAGTATTGATTTGTAAATTCTTTTGTTCCCAAATCGGTGTGTGTGTGTGTGTGTGTGTGTAATCCCCATAATGATTTTAAGTCTCTTGTGGGCATGGATTACCTCTCCCCCTGGCCTGGCCCCCCACCCCTGAGCACCAATTACAGGGTTGGACACAAATAAAGACTTCATTAAGTGTTTGGTGGTTTATAATTAAAAGGATTAAAGAAAGGTGTCAGCCAGGAGTTAAATATTTGTTAGCTTCTGGTAAATATAATAGCAAAAAAAATTATCTTCCTTTATTCCTCTGCTTTTTATTACAGAAAGCAGCAACTGGATTGTTCTAGAAATTAGGTGGAGTTGAATGAATAGTTGCTGAAAAGGGAGTGCCTCAGGCACATGTTGAAATGTATTTTGCTGGCCCCGGAAAGGGATTGGGTGCAATTACCTTTTAGCCTATAAGACTGATGGGAAAATAAAGGGGCAGAAAACAGCTGTTTGGTTTTCTAAGTTGCCCCAAGTTACCATTTTAAAACGCGCCTGCAAGCATTTCTAAAACGGGAGTCCGCGGTTACAGTCACCAAACCGGTCTGACTGCACTGCCCCCCTTCCGCTGGGTGCGGGGGCTCCGGGAACATAGAGTTATCAGCGATCACTGTCCCGACCTTCGGAGAACAAGCTGGTTAGTAATGTGCCGCAGTTTCTGTGCAAACCGGCTCCCACAAACCAGGGAGTGATTCAAGGTTCAGAGTTCCTTCTTTGTTCTCTGTTAATCACTGACTTCTGACTGTGGGAGGTGCCTCCCAGATTTGCGAATGCATTCTTTTTGGGCAGGGATGACGCACAGATTGTCCTAATAAGGACTTAGATTGGGAAAGCACCGCCCCCTCTGAGAAGATGGGACAAGTCCGAGAGAGGGCGGGCGTTTTCTTTTTCAACTGGGGATGACACAAGCATAAGTCATTTCCTTATTAATCGGTTCAAACCAGTTCTTACAGGAACTGGTGGTGATAAATGTGGGACTTCTCAGAAGTCATTCATTTTATTCTTTGTGCCACACCAGTGAGCAGCCCCCGAGCTGGCCTCTCTCCGAGGATGAACTCTGCTGCTGGAAGCCAGGAGCTGGGCTCCTGCTCCCTCCCAGGCTTGGTGGTGGAGAGATTTTTCTCCTTTATGGGGCTGGTAAAGAGTTCTCAGGACCTCACCAGCTCTGCTGATAGTTTTTCTTTTTTTTCTTTTTTCTTTCTACCAATCCCTGCTTTTTGAATCCAGGCGGTGAGTGGATTTTTCCTTAACATTTTTCCTTCTTTTCTTCCCAAATGTACCTTTTTCCTTGGGGTGTTGTCCCCGCCTCCAGTGCTGTCCCCGGCATAGGTCCGTCTCTGCAGAAGCCATTCCAGGAATACCTGGAGGCACAGCGACAGAAGCTTCACCACAGAAGTGAAATGGGCGCCCCACAGGTGAGACCCCTGCTCCCCGCTCTCCCCGTGCCGGCTGGCATCGCACTCTCGGGCTCACTGCTCAGGCACAAGTGGAGTGAGGTTTTCCTCCAGACCTTGAGGCTCCAAGGACTCGACTGGGAAATTTGTCCAAATCAAAGCATGTAACTTCTGTTTTGTACATCTCCCAAAGTCAAGGGCAGGGCTAGTGGAGAACAGTAGATCTGTTATGTAGAATGAGTTATTGCCTTGATCTCAAATTATTTATTAGCAAGTATACTTTCTGAATGGACTTAAACGTTGACATTCAGAGCTTAACAAAACTGAGGTCACCGGAGCATCTCCCTTCGTTTTTGCACTATTTTTCTTTTCAGAGGTGGGAAAGTAATCATTTTTTAATAAACCGAGGCTCTTCCTGAACATAAAACCTTTAATTTAAACTAAGCCGTTTCTGTGAGTAGTGCTGTGACATAGGGAAACGACCGGAAGAGATGAGTAAGCAGCAGCCCCCCGGTGGGAAACTTGAAGGAAGCAGAGCGGGGTTGTTTAGGTGGTTTGGTTGATTGGTTTTTAAGACTCTTTATGCGGCCCTGTGCTGCCCTCAGTTGACCGAACATGATTTCAGAAATTGATAACATTTATGTTTTAAAAGCTGCTCCCAATCCTGGAACAAGAATATCTAACTCTTTTGGCACCGCCCTGTACAAGTGTCTGCAGACTTCGTTCTTATGTAGGATGGGAGGAGGGATGGCCTCACAGCCGCCCGTTCTGAACCATTTGCATCAACATGGATTTTATAGCCACCAGAGTGACATCTTACTAAAGGGGCCCACATGTCTCATTTCAGGGCAGCAGAGATGAGGTTTTTCATCTTTAATTGTTTAGAGTTTCTAGGCTCTAGGCTCCCACGGTCTCATTATTCTTCCTAAAACATTGCAGATGACCCCCGTGTTACTGCTGAGATGATGAAGTGTCTCCTGTGCTTACTCTGCGCTTCTTCCCGCAGGGAGAAAACTGGTTGTCCTGGATGTTCGAGAAGCTGGTGATTGCGATGGTGTGTTACTTCATCCTATCCATCATTAACTCCATGGCCCAGAGTTATGCCAAAAGGATCCAGCAGCGGATAAAGTCAGAGGAGAAAACTAAATAAGCAGGAAATGTGTTTAACGGCAGGAACTAGAATGGCTGGGTTCTGCCTTAATTGGGAGGACTCAAAACCAGGCGAAAAACTTCCCTTTTCCGTCCTGTTTCAATTTAACTTTTTCCCCCTGAAAACAGTTTAGTCCGTATTTTGCACTGACATACTTTTCCTTTGTGTGTTAAGGTAAGGTGTCCATCCTCGATTCAATTCAAGTTGTGTTTTATGAGGGTGGATTGGGATGTTCAGCAGCAAACTTAACAGAAACGGGCCTTCTATTTGTTACTTTCAAAAGGCCCACGTAGTACAGTTAAAGAATTCCAGACACCACGAAAAAAGTTCTAAGTATGTTAACTGTGTCAAGCTTTTTAAGCTTGTCACAACTGCTTTGTTTTTCTAAATCATCAAAATGTATATAAATATTAGATGAAATAACAGTCTTGCATGTCTATCATGGTTCAATTTAATATGCCATCCTGCCCAGCCCTTCCTCTCCCACCTCCCAAAAAGAAGGCCGTTTTCTGATGCGTCGCACACCCGTTGGGAAATTGATCTTTAAAATTTTGAGACAGTGTAAGGAAAATCTGGTTGGTGTCTCACAGATGAGCTGACACCATTTTTTATTCTGTATATTTAGAATGAAGTCGTGAAAAAATCTTTATAAAGACCTCTTTGATCATTCCAAAATTGTGTTTGTTTTCTTGAGCGTTTTGATTTTTTTACTTCCTAGTAGCTTCTACCAGCTGAATGGCAGCCTTGCCAAATTCACCCACAACCATCATTTCTTAAGCCTTCGTTTGTTTGTGTGGAAAGAGACAGCACCCATTTTTGTTGCTGGAATTGGACAGCTAGCTGTACCCTGGTGGGACGGTGCCGGAGGACGATGTCATGAGCAGATTTCTTGGATTGTGAAAGCAGTAGAGAGGGTTGTATGCACGTCAACACGGGAGAGAGAAATGACTCGTTAAAAAAAAAAAAAAAAACTACACTTTTCTCGGGTGTTCATTTTAGTTCAGAATGTACTCTGTTTTAACAGAAATTTTCTTTTATGTGTAACTTGATTTTATTGTCCTTTTCAGTTTTGTGCTTACGTGTTTTTCTTTCGGGATGTTTCAAGTTGAACTTGATCGTTTTGTTTTGCTTGAGAGGGAAATAAACCATTTCACTTTCTTCCTTCAGGACAGTTGGTGCTGACCTTACATTGAGAATAGAATTGGGTTTAAATCCACAGGCCAGCAGTGCCCGATTTGCTTGATCCAATCCTGCCTGCCTGCCTGCTTGTTTTGCTCCCGTCGTGACATCTCCATGGCCGTACCACCTTGTCGGGTAGCTTATCAGACTGATGTTGACTGTTGAATCGCATGGCAACAGCAGTCGATGGGCTGTCTGACATTTTGGTATCTTTCATCTGACCATCCATATCAAATGTTCCCATTCAGACATTACCCAAGATCATGGTTAATGATAAAAAACAAAAACCTCTGTCCTTAACGTTCAGTGGCACTTTGAGTCTTTTATGCCATGGTATTGCATAGTCGGAAGGATTTCATGGGGAAATTGGGATCGTGTCCATGACCACAGCTCAGTAAAAGCCTAAGCCGCCTGCCTGTGGGTTTTGAAAAGGTTATTGATCATTTTTTTTTCCATCCAGGGACTCCTGGCAGTGTGACTGTTACCTTACTTAAAGAGCAGTGCCCGAAGGCTTTATTTTAAGCAGATTCGCATCAAAATCATGTTTAGAATCTTCAGGGTTAGTATAAGGTTCTAAGTCAGCTTCTGGTTGTGTTTCATCTGTTCCCTGCATCTTGGTGTGTTTGTCTAAAGAGAAAAGAGGAAAGCAAATGTGAGTGGTGCCACTTGTACTAACTAACCCTTTGGGCTTTATCGGTAGATTTATTTCAGGGAAGGGTGTCAGAGAAATGGGGTGTCTTAGGCTGAGGGCCTGACTTAAGGGTGACCGGTGGTTCACTCTGCTCTCCTCACTGCGTGCTCAGGTGTGGCGCCCCCGAGGGTCCTGCTGGCCTTGTGTCCATGTGTGTCTGTTCCTTTCTTAGATCAAAAGTGGATGCCAGCAGCTATGGGATCCCAGAGACATACCCGGTTCGTTCCAGCTGGTGAGAGACCAGAAACGTTGTGAATGGATGTTTGATATTACTGCAAATAAAGAAAAAGGGCCTGGGAATTCTGATTCCATCTCTGTTTTGTTTAAGCCTCATTTTATGCCTTAAATATCTACAATGTGAAATCACTTCTCAGCCCGGTGACTGAGTAGGAGTACAGTACAAACCGATGCCACACATCAGCTCACACCGAGGAGCGCTCCCTCCAAACCACACTGAGAACAGCCTCCGGGGTGTGGGGCTTGAAAGCAGGGGAGAGTTTTACTTTCATTTCTATAACGGCCACTCTTCCCATTCTCTAGAAATCCAGGAGAAGAGGCGCTGGGGGAAGTTTCTGGAACGCACTGGTTAATTCCGTGTCTGTAGCAGCAAGTGCTCCTGGACAAACAAGCTCAGCCACATGCTGTCCCTGCAGCTTCCGTGGGACAGCGTGAGACTCGCCTACTTTAAGTTTTTAACTCGGCCTAGATTTCATCTATTTAAAAATATGTAGGTAGTCAGGTTGACTGAAGGATTAAATTGGATAAAATGTGAAATACTGCCTTAAATGTATGTCCCCAATTTTTAATTTATCAAAGGTAGTATTTGATACACATACAAGAATTTTACAACATTTCACTTACTCCAAAAACTTTTTTTAAATGTTTTCAGTACATGCACCCTTGTTTTGGAGTAGATATACTCTGTCTAAAGAAGTTAAATCCAGGGTACAGGTTAAAGAGAAAAACACAAATTAGTGAACTGATGACTTTATTAACAAGACAAAAACCTTTTAAAATCTGAAAATAGGCCCCCCAGTTAGCCTAGATAAGGTACAAAGCACCAATACACAAATATACTGTGAAATCATTGAAAATAATTTTTCTAACCCTCCCGCCTTTTAAGTAATAAGTAATAAGTCTGGACGTTGGGGGGGGGGGGGGGTGTACCAGCTTTTAGTTCCTTGTTTGAAACTCCACCTAGATTAGCCAGATTCGATGGGTGTAAATAGGTTTTAAACAGGGTTTTTTAACATTTGGCCCGGTGGCAGGCGAGATCTTCCTCGAGAGGCCTCGAAGTCTCATTTCTGCTAGAAAAACACAAAAACCTGTTTATTCATTAATAATTAGTTACTAATGTGCTCACAAAAGGAGCACATTAATCAGGAGCTGAATAGCCATTTTTTTAAAGCCAAGAAACTTCCCATCCCTGACTCGCACAAAACACGGTACACAAAATGCTGCACCAGGCTGGCATCCGATGTGTTTTGTTCCTTTATTGCCGAAGGCAACAAGAAAGCACATCATGTACTTGAAAGTTCCAGAAGCAGCTGAGTCATTGGCGTCGGGTCAGGGGCTTGGGTTCCTGTCCCTCCCTCCCCAGCAAAGCCCAGGGTTCACCTGAGGCAGTAAGGCCCTGGGGGTGAGGCCTCGGATTGCAGCGAATGAGCCACACGTATTTGCATAGCTGCCCTGTGCTCACGGGAGGGACTGGAACCAAAACCCGTTCCGGGCAGATGCTTACTCACGGCCTTCAGAATCGCTCGGTGCTGGGATCGGCAGGTGCCAACTGTTTGCTCATTCTCTCTGACCGACTGGCCTTGCCGTTCTGTGTGTGGGTGTCGATACTTCTAAATTAAACACACACACGGCGTCGTTCCAGAGGCCCCCGCTCTCCGCCCAAACACCCCGGGTTCCTGTGAGACCCGAGGTCCTAATTCTGTGTCGGGAGCCCGGCCCGAACCGCGGCCCCGGGAGAGGGAGGCCGCGCGAGTGGCTGGCTGGCTGTGGGAACAGGAACGGGGGCAGCGGAGAGGGTTTGTCAGCCAAATCCACAATGTGTGGTTGTTCGAGACACTGGACATCTGCGCCTCGTCATTCAAAACAAACTTGAGAAGGCACGAGGTTCTGGGCTCCTTGCTCCTTCGTGGCCTTGGCCGTGGCCACTCTCGCTCGGGAAGCCGGACGGAGTGAGGAACCGGGATCTCCGGGGCCCGCTGCGGGGAAAGGGAAGAGGTGGTTTGACAAAGCACAGGGTGGAAATCCCCTCCGGGGGTGACCGGCCCAGGTGTTCAGCCCGTTTGTTAACCATTTCCCAGTGACTCAAAGGACGGAGGGAGGGTTTGGACACACGCCAGCACTATCCACAATGCGGTCTTTATTTGCATTGGAGACCGCATTCCTGTCTTCTCCACGGCTCGGCTCTAGTCTGTTCTGGGCAACTAAGAGGGGACACACACACACACACACACACACCCCCGCCCCAGCCACCTACCTACCTAAGCTGACAGCCGCCTTCTTTGGAGGGTTTCCCGCGCAGAGCATCCACGGCTTGCTGCTTGCTTTGATGGCCTCCCACCCACAGCTCTTGGAGGAAAAGCCTGGTTCCTTCAGAGAGGCCTCTGCAGGCCGCTTTCCCTCCCCCCAACTAATGCCCAGCGAGGCGCTTCCCTGTGCTGCCATCTGTCCCCGCGGGGCCACAGCGGCAGCAGGACGGACCCGGCCGCACTGTGTCATTACTGGTGTCCCAGGCGGTCTCCTGTGTGGAGGGAGGCTGTTCGGAGAAAGGACGGTTCTGTCTTCCCCTGCAGGTGGGGATGGCTGGTCCGGTCACTGCTGTCTCGCTCGGCTTCTCACCAGGTTGTGTTGGGAACGGAGTGTCTCGGGTTCACTCCTCGTGTCACCGAGAACATGTTTTCATTAGTTACCGAGAGGAAAGCCCAGTGCAATGAGAGGAGGCCTTTCTCTGTTTCGTTTGGTGGTGCAGCTCAGCCTCCCGGTCACTCTCACTTGAACGAGGCCCTAAGTAAGCCTCTCAAAACAGCCAGCCTCTCTCTGCTCTCCCTAACCTCACATGTTCGGCCATAGCGAGGCTCTGCAGACCCCTCTGCCTCGTCCTGCGCGTTGCACCAGCCCCTACCCATCCCCACGTCCCCTGTGTGGTGTTTTCCTTGTGCACAGCCACACAGCACCAGCAAGCAAGCTTAGCTCCCCAGGCCCTGGCTGGGTAGCTCAGTTGGTTAGGGCATCGTCCTGATACACAAATTGCAGCAAATAAGCTACATGTATTTGCATATTTGCCCTGTGCTCACGAGAGGGATTGTAACAAAAGGTTGAGGCCTCAATCCTCGGGGCACATTTAAGGAACAACCAATGAATGAATAAACAAGTGAGACAACAGAGCGATCTCTCTCTCTCAATCAATCAACAAAGAAAAAAAGCTTAGCTCCCAGGAACCTCCTTCGAGGCCCTGCACCAGGAAGTGGAGTGGACACTATAACTTGAAGACTGTTTGCTTACGTTGTACCGGCCATTGTTTCAGTGCTGTCTTACGTGTAGTGTGTTGTATGTAATCGTTAAATCCTTACAAACAGCCCCATGAGGAAGTGAAAACAGAGAGGGTCAGTAATTTGCTGGAGGAGGCAGGGAAGTAGCAGTTAGAACTCACACCGAGGTGTTCTGGCTCCTGGCCACTCAGTTCTGCGGAAAAGTCCTGGCTTCTGCGTGACGCGCTTTACCTGTGGTCACAGACGGGCAACGTGGCAAGGGAGATGGCACAAAGCCGGGGCCACAGCCTACAAAGTTGCTG